ATAGTGTGTCTCAATTTTATAGCACTTAGTATGGTTCCTGTCTGCTCTGTCTCTCCTCTGCTATCTGCATGAGTCACTGACAGTTTTCCAGACACCAGGCAATCCTTGGAGATACCCCCACACAGGACAAAGGAGGTGATTGACAGCCTCAGATGTGAATGTTTCACAGTGAGGCTGTGTAGGGGGGGGGGTGTCCTTTCCCTCCACCCAGGTCTCAAATTACATTCAGCTCTGTGCTTTGTGCTGTACAGTGTGTGACATCAGGTTCCTGCCTCCTGCCTCCTAAAAGCTGAGAAATACCCTTTAATCAGTGCACTATGGAAGTCTGAAGAGGAGAGAAAGCTGCATATAAAGAGGTACAACTTATGTAGGAGGATTTAATTCATAATTGTCTAGTCACTTCAGTGGGCTTATATAAAGGTTTATTAGCGCTTTAAAGTGTATGTAAACCCTAACAATCTACTGCTCCTTTTTACCTCCTTTTGTTCTGTTAATTTACCATTGAAAATAGTTTCTTCTACCAGTTTGGTTAAGTGCAAGAATGTTTTTGTTGATCTTCCCAGAAATCTAGTGATTTGATAACTTTCTGCACACTATGCTCCACTCTTATCAGTTAGCAATGTTAACAGTTCTCTTTGTGGACTATAGAGCACCTGCTCCACATTACAGAGATGAGTAGAGGGGCAGGTGTTCTGTAGTCCTAACACACTTTCAGTCCTTAAAGGTTGACAAAGCTGCTCCTCCACAGATACAGTACGGTGAGTGGGTGTTGTCATCCAAGGACAGGAAGTATGTTACTGGCAGGATCACCAGAATACAGGAAAAAAATCTAGAAAAAGAGGAAACATATACAGCCACCACATCTAAGGACCGATAATGTATAAAGGAAGCTGCAATGTATTTTACAAAAACATATCCTTATTCTCCAAATAATCAATGCACATCCACTACTTAATGGTCCTGCAATCTAATTTTTATGAAATTGATTCTTACTTTGTTTTTCTGCCTCTTTGTAACATCCACCGTATGATCCTAAACCTCTCCTTTCCCCCCTCACTTCCATGTATTTGGAATGAGCAGTACATGCAGTTGACGTCATGTGCACCTCTCTATGCACAATACAAATCTACTACTCCATAGTCCCTAGTCCATTGTCCCTTTTTTTCATCTCAGGAGCAAGCAAGACAGGTGGCTCTGTTCCCACATATAGTGAGACCATGGAGAATGAACAAACTTAATAATGGCAAGCTGCAGTTTCCAAAACAAGCAAAATCCTCTCTTGTATTGAAATCAGACTTAACTGCAGACAGAGCCCTCCAGTGCTGCGCTGATACGGCTCTCCCTGGTCTCTGGTAGTTTCCATCTTCACCTGGTCTTCCTTCCGGGTTCTGGATCTTCAGTTGCTTGAGTGACCAGGCTGCAGGTGACATCACTGCGCATGCTCACGTGAGTCACATCGCTGCGGAACGCAGAGTGGGCCGTAAAGCTGCACATATGCGACTCAGATCACATTACCCGCTAGGGTCTCTTCTGTTATAAAAACTTTGCCTGTTAGAGAATTTTAAGTTCCAAGAGTTTACTACCACTTTAAAAAAGGCTTGAATTATTTCCTAAGTGCACATAATATAACTGGATACTAACATTTATAGGTAAAGTTGGTTCAGGTGATATCCGATTGCCTCTTGGGGGATTAGGAAGGATCTCTTTCCCCCTGATGGAGCAAATTGGATCTTGCTTTATTGGGGTTTTTTGCCTTCCTCTGGATTAACTGTGGGTGTAGGATTGTGTATATGGAGGTCTTCTATTTGTGTGTGTCTTTTTTTTTTATCCTTGGTCTACCCCAGTGAGATCCCAGCCCCTGCACACACACCTTGGTCTACCCCAGTGAGATCCCACCCCCTGCACACACACCTTGGTCTACCCCAGTTAGATCCCAGCCCCTGCACACACACCTTGGTCTACCCCAGTGAGATCCCAGCCCCTGCACACACACCTTGGTCTACCCCAGTGAGATCCCAGCCCCTGCAAACACACCTTGGTCTACCCCAGTGAGATCCCACCCCCTGCACACACACCTTGGTCTACCCCAGTTAGATCCCAGCCCCTGCACACACACCTTGGTCTACCCCAGTGAGATCCCACCCCCTGCACACACACCTTGGTCTACCCCAGTGAGATCCCAGCCCCTGCACACACACACCCTTGGTCTACACCAGTGAGATCCCACCCCCTGCACACACACCTTGGTCTACCCCAGTGAGATCCCACCCCTGCACACACACCTTGGTCTACCCCAGTGAGATCCCACCCCCTGCAGGTCTAGTGAGATCCCACCCCCTGCACACACACCTTGGTCTACCCCAGTTAGATCCCAGCCCCTGCACACACACCTTGGTCTACCTCAGTGATATCCCAGCCCCTGCACACACACCTTGGTCTACCTCAGTGATATCCCAGCCCCTGCACACACACCTTGGTCTACCCCAGTGAGATCCTACCCCCTGCACACACACACCTTGGTCTACCCCAGTGAGATCCCACTCCCAGCACACACATTGGCCTTTCCACAGTGGGTTCTTCAGTTAGTTTCCAAATACTTCCCCACTCTCAGCGTACTACTTCCCACCTAGTCAAGGAACTTCCTGTCCTTAAGAGCCTCTTCCTGAAGGTAGGTTAGCTCTTTTGGGACTGCAGGGTTGAAGGTTCATTCCCACCCAAATATCTCTCCAAATTCTAGGTACCAAAGGAGAATTTACCAATTCAGAGAGGATTGTAATTCAGTCTCCTCCTCTCTGACTGGTATACACCGAACTCTACATGGGTTCTCAGGACCCCTGAGAACATCAACTGCTTACAAATCATCCCTCGTAAAGGGACCAAAACCCAAACATAAGTGAAATATAGCGTCCATCCAGGACTATCTTTGGTGTCCTGTACACCACATACAGCTGTGGACAGCTATTCATGTCTATGGGGGGACCGTACGCAACACCTGCACTTCCGGGGCCAGGAAAAAGTCTGAATTTTATGCTGTATGCTGTTAATGCGCCTGTGTACATGAGGATGTAAATATGTAACTATGAATGAATCCACCCTCCAGTAGAAAGTTGGGCCATAGCAACAAAAAAAAAAGGAATTTGGAGATTTGGAGGCTGAAAGCAACAGAAGGGCTTTTCTGAGTTAGGAATACATATATGAAATTAATTTTATTTTTTTTCAAACCAGAGTTTAGTGTCATGTTAACACTTTGCTTTGAAACATATTAGTGAATTAAAGTAAGAGTAAGCTTACTGTTTTGGAAACGTAAATTGACTAAAATTTTATTTAAAAAAAAAAACTCTCCTCTAAAATGAGAAAAGGTAATCAGATTTCAGAGGTTGCTTCTGGCAGATTACTACAACCGAAGAACAGCAGCAAAATCCAATATTCCTAAAAATGAATCTGCAGTGCACACACTGGGGATAAACAAAGGAGCCAATTTACTGGCCCATCTTGTCAGGATTAGGTAGCTAAAGACCTATTTAACATATTTACTGGGTGAAGCTGACTCATCGAACTGACCAAAACCTCCATGGATACAATAGAAAAGACTAGAAAATCTGGCACATAACGTTCACATCTGCTCATGTATGTATCCAGCACCCTCTTCTATTCTCTTAATACGTTTAGTTTGGATGCTGAACATCTGGAACTCTTAGACTTGGATATGTAGCAGAGTTGCCTGACTGTAGCATGTATGAACATGACTTGAGGCAAGTGCATTTGAACATACCATTCGCCAATTCGCCCAAGGTATGCAGCCCATATGTTGCCATGGTTAAATATAAAACAATGGTGGTTGCTTACTAAAACTAAAATTGTGAAATCTGGTGCAGCTCTGCATAGAAACTAATCAGCTTCCATGTTTTGGTATCCGTAATATGAAACTCGCTGCTGATCTCAGTACATTAGTGGTTTATGAAACAGAGATGTTCTCCACTGATTTTCTCAGCACACAGAGAATCTGTCACTAACAGAAACTGAAATGGCCAGTTTATGAAGGAGTGATGTCAGCCCTTCACTGGCAATCTGTGTGAAAATTCTCCCTACCAGATTCTCCAGCCCAGAGTTGGGGAATCGGGCAGAAAACAGAGAATCGTTGGAGTACTGAGGAGGAAGAAGGAAGTTTTTGGACTATCTTCTTCTTCCTTCAGGGCCTCCAAGACAGTGGGAAAGCCCCCCTGCCTTTCACAACACCCCGAAAGCCCTAGAGCAGTTTAGAAATATATATATATATATATATATACACACACACACACACACACACTTTATTGCCAAAAGTATTGGGACGCATACCTTTATACATACATGAACTTTGATGGCATCCCTGTCTTAGTCTGTAGGGTTCAATACGGAGTTGGCTCACCCTTTGCAGCTATAACAGCTTCAACTCTTCTGGGAAGGCTGTTCACAAGGTTTAGGAGTGTGTCTATGGGAATGTTTGACCATTCTTCCAGAAGCACATTTATGAGGTCAGGCACTGATGTCAGACAAGAAGACCTTGCTCGCAGTCTCCACTCATTCATCCTAAAGGTGTTCTATCGGGTTGAGGTCAGGACTTTGTGCAGGCCAGTCAAGTTTCTCCTCCCCAAACTCTCTCATCCATGTCTTTAGTTGGATTGGGAGTTGGGAGCATGAAATTGTCCAAAATGTCTTGGCATGCTGGAGCCTTAAGAGTTCCCTTCACTGGAACCAAGAGGCTAAGCCCAACCCCTGAAAAACAACCCCACACCATAATGCCCCCTCCACCAAACTTTACACTTGGCACAATGCAGTCAGGCAAATGCCATTTTCCTGGCAACTGCCAAACCCAGACACATCCCAAACAAAGAAGTGCGATTCATCACTCCAGAGAACACATCTCCACTGCCCCAGAGTCCAGTAGTGGCGTGCCTTTACACCACTGCATCCGATACTTTGCATTGCACTTGGTGATATAAGGTTTGGATGCAGCTTGCTTGGCCATGGAATCCCATTCCAAGAAGTTCTCTATGCGCTGCTGTTGTACTAATCTCAAGGCCACACAAAGTTTGGAGGTCTTTAGCTATTGACTCTGCAGACAGAGCACAGATCCAGCATGTGCAGATCCAGCTCTGTCATTTTACGTGGCCTACCACTTCATGGCTGAGTTGCTGTTGTTCCACTTTGTTATAATACAACTAACAGCTGACCGTGGAATATTTAGCAGCAAGGAAATTTCACAGATGGGCTTATTGCACAGGTGGCAAAACCTATCATAATACCACACTTGAATTCACTGAGCTCCTGAGAGCGATCCATTCTTTCACAAATGTTTGTAGAAGCAGTCTGCATTCCTAGGTGCTTGATTTTATACACCTGTGGCCATGGAGGTGATTGGAACACCTGAATCCAAGGATTTGGAGGGGTGTCCAAATACATTTGGCAATATACTCTATGTGTATATGTGTGTGTGTATATACAGTGGGGAAAATAATTATGTGACCTGACCCCCTGCAGATTTTGTAAGTTTGCCCACCTACAAAGAAATGAAGGGTCTATAATTTTTATCAAAGGTGAATTTTAAATGATAGAGACAGAATATCAACCAATAATCCAGAAAGAACACATAATAAAAATATTCTAAATTCAGTTGCAGTTCAGTGTGTAAAATAAGTATTTGATCCCCTACCAACCAACAATAATTCTGGCTCCTACAGACTGGCTATGTGCTCACGTGGTACACAGATTAGTCCTGTCAATTTAAGAAGGTGCTCCTATCGAGAAATCGATATGTGTATAAAACACACATGTCCACAGAATCTCTTTCTTGGGCAACACCATAGGCAAGATCAAAGAGCTGTCAAAGGATGCAAGGCACAAGATTGTAGACGTGCACAAGGCTGGAATGAGTTACAAGACCATCAGCAAGAAGCTTGGTGAGAAGGTACAACTGTTGAGTGATTATTTGCAAATGGAAGAAATACAAAATAACTGTCAATCACCCTTGGTCTGGAGCTCCATGCAAGATTTTATCTCATGGGGCAAGGATAATCATGAGAAAAGTGAAGGATCAGCCCAGAACTGCAGAGGAGGACCTGTGAATGATCTCAAGGCAGTTGGGACCACAGTCAAAACAAATCATTAGTGACACAATACGCCACCATGGATTGAAATCCTGCAGCACCTGCAAGGTCCCCCTCCTCAAGAAGGCACATGTGGTCCTGACTTCCTGTAGGCAAGATCACGGTTACAGACAGACACTGAAAGTGTACTGTGAAGACACTTACAGTACTGAGAAGCTTTTTGGTGTGCTTTATAGCACATACTGTACAGTACTGTACTGTACATCCCTGTGAACACTTGCTGTAAAGCTTTTTTGAGTGCTTTTTTAGTACATACTGTACTGGACATCTAGTATGGCTCCAAAGAAAATTCAGAGCAAGCATGGTGGTAAGAAGAAAGTGCAGAGCGGTAATGAAGGTGACAAGAATGTTCAGAGCAAGCATGCTGTTAAAAAGAAAGTGCAGAGCAGTAATTAAGGTGACAAGAATGTGCAGAGCGGTAATGAAGGTGACAAGAACGTGCAGAGCGGTAATGAAGGTGACAAGAACGTGCAGAGCGGTAATGAAGGTGACAAGAACGTGCAGAGCGGTAATGAAGGTGACAAGAACGTGCAGAGGGGTAATGAAGGTGACAAGAATGTGCAGAGCGGTAATGAAGGTGACAAGAATGTGCAGAGCAAGCATGTTTTTAAAAAGAAAGTGCAGAGCAGTAATGAAGGTGACCAGAAGCACCACCCCAGCATAACTGTAATGAACAGAGTGTTGAATCTGATGAACGATAACGTGGTCTCTCATTTCCGAAGGGTTATGCAATGCAGGAAAAGACAAATGAAATTGGACAGATTTTTCACCAAAACTAAGCCTGCAGCTAAGAGACAAAGAAAAGATGAAACCCCTAAAGGGGATCTCCCCAATGTCCTTATGGAGGGGGACTCTTGCTCTGAACAATCTTCCCACCCGCCTTCCTGTCCTCCACACCAGAAGTCATCTCAAGCAAGGTTAGTGTTCTCTGTATTCATACTGTACTGTACTTTGTTTCATATTTTGTGGTTCAAAAACAAAAAGTTCAGAACGGATGAACCTTATCTACATTAAACCTTGTGGGAAAATTTGATTCGGTTGGCGACCAGATTCAGTTTGCGACCACGTTCGTAGGGGTCAGAACGGATTAACCTGATTTACATTGAACCCTATGGGAAAATTTGCCTTGGTTCGCGATCAATTTGGTTCACGACCAGAGTTGTGGAACGAATTAAGTTCCTGAACCGAGGTATTACTATAATGTAAAATAATATAATATTATAAACAATAATAATAACAACAATAATACCAACACTTAGAATATTAAAGCCAAAACATTTTCTATTAGCTTTGGACCTTACAGGAAAGCATTAACATCCCTGTCAGGTTTTTATCAAAGTCTACATTCCTATAGGGAGATTCTATTTGTCCTGGTGATCATTGCCACTAGTCAGGAAGTGATGGCAAATATAACATTTTATGTTTGTCACCAGGACAAGGCGAGGAGAATCTTCCAGTCAGGACATCTGTTCCAGTCCAAGTCTCCCCAACAATACACAGACAAAAAAAAAAAGACATCTATGGGTTTGAACCATATAATACTCTATCCAGAAAAAAATATGGCTATATAGATTTTAAAGATTTACATTTGTGAATATAAACACTTCCACCTTCCTTGAATTCCACAGTGGCTGTGATCTGACAGAAAGCAATATATATATTTTTTTTATGAATGGATGCATATGTAGCTGCAGCTAATATTTAATATAAGAGAATAAAGTGATCCATATCAGTTCACATTGTGCGATGTAGTGAGAGGCGAGTGTATAGGGCTGGTAGGAGACAGCGATAATTAAAAGATAAACTTAGGTGCTATGAGCATTGAGGTTTTATTAGCTTCATAATCCACAATGCACAAGAGTTATTATTCATTGGAATACATACCCTGTTTTGATTAATATTATATTGTGAACTTTATGAGAGCAATGTGTTCTGTGATTTCATGCAGCTAATACAATTACACGTTTTCTTCTGCTGACAGGTTAACAGGCTTTAAAATTAATATGGGCTTCTGTTTGTTGAGTGGTTTATTTTCCAGTTTATTTCACAATATTGTCTCTGGGGCGGTATCCAACCATAGGCAGTACATTTCCATATTAACCAAACACATATTGCTGCCTTCTAAATCCTATAATAATCATTATTTATAATATGATATGTTATTTATATTATGACACGTTATTTATAGACGTACATTACACCATCTTCCCAGTTTTGGAGGTTCGTCCATGGTTTTCAGCATTGAAACACTGCACTAAAACATCCACCATTTTGGCATTGTAGCTTTAAAGTAGAACTCTGAATATTACTGACTGTAATGTGTGTTTTATTGTTTAGGCCCCTTTCACATGAGTGGACCGATCGACTCTGCCTGGCAGTTGTTCAGAAGGACCCGACCCGATCGAGCGGATCGACCCGATGGACATGTGTCCGTTTACACCTGCCTACATCCAATCCTATCCCTTGCAGTGTGCAGGGGAGCTAGTGCAAGGTTAATTTTGTATCCCCCTGGAGTTCAGCTTTAAAAAAAATGTGTCAAAATTTGTGTGGAGCAAAAGATATATTTCACTTAACTTCTTTCCCAAATCTCTTTTGGTTAATAAGGCTACCCAGTAAATTATCCACTTGATCTCTTTTTACCCCCTTCATGACCAGGACATTTTTTGCTATTCAGCACTATGCTGCTTTGACTGCCAATGGCTCAGGCATGCAACACTGTACGCAAATTAAATTTATATAATTTTTTTTGCACACAAATAGAGCTTTTTTTGGTGGTATTTGATCACCAGTTGTTTTTTTTTTATTATTATATCAACGAAAAAAGACAGCAAATCTGAAAAATAAAAAAACTATATTTTTTGCTTTTTGTTATAAAACATAACCAAAAAAATCATGCCTACGTGTTTTTGGTAACAAAAAAAATCCCAGTAAGTGTGTATTGATTGGTTTGTGTGAAAGTTATAGCGTCTATATATAGTACATATGCTGGAACTTACGCAGCTATAGACATTATACTGGTAATAAAGGTGATTAGCTGCTTACAGTGTGACTGAGATAGTGTGGCGGCCAATCTTGTACTAACAGACACTAGCTGGGAGGGACACTAACTGACTTCGCTAGTGACACTATTACAATGATCAGTGATATTGCTATGCATTGTACTAATGACATTGGCTGGTAAGGAGTTAACATCAAAGGGAAATCAAGTGCTTAACTGTGTGCCTAACAAGTGTAATGTGTATAATGTGTGCTGCTTTTACTCATAGATCTGGGTATGGATGCTTTTTTCCCTGCTTTTCAGGGAGAAGAAACAGCCAGATTGCTGTTCTATGTACACAGAGTGCTGTGTGCTTGTAAACACAGAACTCTGTGCTGAGATTGGTCACAGCTGGTCAGCAGGTTTCAGTCAAAATCATTGGCTGAAACCTGCTGACAAACTTGTTCTGTGTCCAATCTGTACAGGTCAGCATCAGAAGCCAGGAAATTCACTGTGATGTACGAGTACACCATATGGGAGACATGTGTTGCTGCTTGAGGCTGAATGCAGGTGAAAGTCAACAAGTTGTTCCAGAAACTAATGCGGTATAAGGAGGAGCAGACGCCACTCAAAAGTGATCTTGGTCACAGAGGCCTCAATAGGCATGGCGAAACGCATTAGAGGGTGTGGTTGGAGCATCAGCTGAGGCCATCTACAACACGTCACCATTGTCTGACTCCGGGGGCCCTCCATATACGGGTATGGGTACATCATGGTGCCTGGATGTGGTGCCCGTTTGCAGTAAATGTACTGTGGGTGGTAGAGAAACTTGGTAGTCAACCTTCACCTCAACAAGAAAATCAAGATATGCTTCTAACATCCGCTGTCTAGGTGAGTGGTACCCAAGTACAGAAAACAGCACAACAAAGTCCAGACAAGGTTTGAACAGTTATTGTATTTATGAGTTGCAGG